CCCATATCTTGTTTAGTTTTCCATCCTTACATGAATATAAGAGGAAATGTGTGAAAGCTGAAGGATTCCAAGCTCCAAACATTAGAATATTACTCACTGGATGACATAAGGAATGTTATTCAACCTTCCTCAGCTTATTCATCCTCTAGTCAATGGCAACAGTAATGGGCATGCCATTGGGCTGTTTTGAGACTTACTACACAATATCCTGTTTCAAATGCTTAGCGCTGCATCTGAAACACAATAATTAGATTTCTGAGTAAACATGTTGCCTTGCCTATTCATCTATAGGTTTCCTTATAAATACACATTGCTGGGGGAAATCAAGGAAATGGCAGTAGAATTTCGGCTTGTATTTCCCATGTATGTTTCAAAAAAATTCATGTAGTTTGGTTCATAAGATAATTTGCATCTTATGTGGCCCATATTGAGTATTTAGGAAAGAAAGGAACAACAGATTTTAAAAATAGTCACTTAAGTTCATGGCATCATTATGAAATGGTGATGGAAAGCTTTAATGATTACTGTAAGATGAGTCATTTTGGCAAACAAGAGAGAAGTAGCCACTACAACTTTATTAGTGAGACAGAAACACCTAAGAAAAAAATCATGTGGTTGGACTTGAATCTGGGCTCCTAGTCAATGCATTTCTTATAAGGCAAGAAAGTGAAATAGACAGGGAGGCTGTTGACCAGACTGCCCAACAGAAAACCATTTTCTGGACCAAAAATGATGTTGATGTCCAATGAAATATGGGGTGGGCAAATATAGGTTTACAGCTGTTCATCTGGAAAAAGACACGCAGGTTATGCTTATTACACTAGCTTTTTAATAGTGTTTCGCAGACTCGTGACTGTAAGCCTACTTTTGCCCATCCCCGTGTGATGAAGATACAGCTACATCTTTTACTGCCTCTTATTCCTAGAGATCACATCTTGCCATCTCCACTCAGTGTCAAACAGCATTAGAAAATAAATGGAAAATTTACAAAGAAAAGACTAAGGATCTCCTTTAGACCCAAAGTCAGAATCCCAATTTATTTAGAGTCAGACCTGGTTAATCAAAGTTACTTTGGTCCCTCCATCATTATTCAGATCAAAACCCTTTTAGATGCACACGTCAATGGAGGAGGCCTTCAGCAATCCTGGCTTACTAATTAAATCCTGGAGAAAACGAAGCCTATGAATGAGCTCTGGATGGCTTATCAATTGTGATTAAGTTTTCTCCGTGGCTCAGTATTTATTTTCAGAGTATAACCAACGCAGAAGGGACCAGAATGGGGAGATGTGAATGAATCAGATGGATGCAATTGCATACGCTGACAAGAACTTAGAGGCTGGCAGGTAAGAGAGATTTTGTTACCAAACGTCATTAGTCATAATCACAGCTTCATGAATGCTTATTAGGGGTATTGTCCACTGATTACCACTTGGCTACTGTCAGAGACAGCTGTCCTATATGATCCTGAATAAGCAAATCCCTCCCTCAGTCCTTGCTGGTTCTTGGCTTCTGGGAGTCAGCAGTTACTTCTTCTTTTTTCCTTCTATTCCATTTGCCCTAAGTCCTATTTCTCACTTTTTCTTCATTAGATATGGTGGATGGATTGATTTTTCATAATTTGTTTGCTCTGTGCCTTCCTTTCTAGTTCCCCGAGACCTACTCTGAGAGTAGCATATTGATCCTCCTCCTCTCCTGCTGGGGAAGGTCCTATAACTCTCACTTCTTGCTGTCACTTTCACTCACAGGTGGAGTAGCAACGATCGGTTTGCTCTGGCAAATAAGAAGTGAGTGGAGCACCAACCAGTCCAGCTCCTCCCCCCACCCCCCAGGCACCCTTCCAAAAGGACATCCACATCGTGAGGCAAAGAATCCCGTAGGAGGAAAAACTACATAAAAACTGAAACCCAAACCGGAAAGCCAGCATTGCTGTCCATGATGACGGATGCTTTTCTCTTCTGCTAATTCTTAGGAACTGTGGTCGTCACCAGCACAATATCAGAACATTATCAATTACTAACAATCCATCAATGATAGGCTTAAGATAACCTTTTCAAGAATATGAGACCATCTTCTTTCTCATTTACCACCCTGCCCCAGCCAGCACACACAGAACTGTTAATACAATTCCCTGGAATAGAAATACCTGTTACCCAAGAGGTATTTTCAATACAACAGATGTCTCCTGGCACTATTCCCTAACTGCATTGAAGGAAGTTCATATTTTATAGCAATATTATTTTTTCCTGGCCATGCCTCTATTGTCCTCAGAAATGTTGACTTTCCAGAAAGATGCATACTTGCCATTAAGGACAACTATCACAGGACACAAAGGTTTCTTTAACGCGTGTGATTTCAATGTCTCACAGCTACTGTGAAAACTCGACTTCATGGTAAAGCACTGCTTTCGTGAGTCAGGCTCTGCTCATTGGGTTGGGCGTTTTCCCTGCCTGCGATGCTGCTCAGCTCTGGGAGCCACTGTATGCAAAAGGGAAGCCTGACAAGCTACAGAGCATTATCTGTGACTTTGTTATTCTTTCCCTCACTTTCTGTACAGAGTGCTTTAACGCTCTAACTCGGAGCGCTGTGGAGTCCCAGGCTGCCTGTGTCAGGAAGGACAGGTGTCATCAGAAGCAACGTCCACCACCAATACAGTCTTCACAACAATCTACTCAACGGCTGGAGGGCATTTTGCAGAGCTGCTAACCTCAGCATCTTCTTGCCTTCAAGCCCAAATCCAGCAGACAATGCTATTACTCAAAACATACAAATGCATCCATGCATAGAGAGGTGTCTGTATATTTGAGAACTGGGTGCTCAATCTAGATTTTTAATAATATTAGTCAACTGCCTGCACTTCATTAAATAACATGTATTAAACCTACCAATATCACAGTGGGGAAGGCCTGGAGAGGGGGCAGGAGAGGGGTGTAGGGCTCAATGTGGAAGGAAAGGGAGCCAGCTGTAATACTTTCAACAAAAAGACCAATTTAAAAAAATAAAATCTACCAACGCCCTCATGGTAGATTTTCTCTTCCAGAAATGATCTGAAATGCAACAAGACATAGACTAAGAATAAGGTACGCTTTGCACAAAGGAACAGAGGCTTGTCTAGCCAATACATAGTCTGAATTATTATCTGAAGATAACAACAAAAAAAAGCAAGACATGGTTTTGGGGCTGGGACTCCATCCAGCAGGTTCAGGGAGTCGTCAGGGTCACAGACATACCGGTGGCGCACGAGCCCTCCGCCGCCACGAGTATCTCGCTCTGCTGCTTGCAGGCCGCCTGGCGCAGGTAGCACTCGTTCTGGTAGCTCTCCCCGTTGGAGCCGCACACCGGCACGTAGTCGCTGTTGCACTGGGGAGACACAGAGGGACCCCTGTGGTTAGCACCCAGTCTGCACAGCTCTGACTTGGTGAACAGAAATCATCATTTACAGTAGGAAGCGCCTGTCTTCCTTTCAGCGATCCTCATTGCCTCCAATCGTCGTTGACCTTGCAAAGGAATCATTCAAAGGCACACAAAAGCAAGCCAAGCCAGCCAGCCAGTCGTTTGATTCGGATTGAAAAGGAGCCTTCTAAATTGATCAGGCAATTCCAGCAAAGTGATCAGACAAGCAATACGAAAAAGAGATAGCAACAAATATTACCAATATTATTTAATACTGTTTTTCTGACACATGGCCCATCGGGCTTGGTGGGAAAAAGAAAACATGCTACAGGCTAAAAGCTATTAGGAAATAGGCAATGTCTACATTTGGAGAGCAAAAGTGTCTAACTGAAATGCCAGAGAATTCAGCTAGTCTTTAGCATGATTATTTTTTCTGTTGAATTTTAATCTTTACAAATTTCTAAGTATTTGATAAGACCTTTGGATTACCACTTAATTTTTATATCATTAGATATGGGATATTGATGTAGATACAGTGTAGAGAGAAATGAAGTACAGGAAAAAATTCAGCAACTAATGAACTACATGTAAACTTTATTGACTATTCAAAACTATGACTATTATATATTTCATAAAGAGAAAAGTTCAGTTTAAAGAAAGTCTTATTATTTTTTTTAAATATATTTTATTGATTTTTTACAGAGAGGAAGGGAGAGAGATAGATAGTCAGAAACATCGATGAGAGAGAAACATCGATCAGCTGCCTCCTGCACGTCCCCCACCGGGGATGCGGCCGCAACCCAGGTACATGCCCCTGACCGAATCGAACCCGGGACCTTTCAGTCCGCAGGCCGACGCTCTATCCACTGAGCCAAACCGGTTTCGGAAGAAAGTCTTATTATTAAGAAGTACACATTTTACAATGGAAATCAGGCAACCTGCAGGGGACACTCATCCTATCTAATAAAGATGGAATATGCAAATCGACCATCACTTCACAACAAAGATGGCGGTGCCCACAGCCAATAAGGAGGGAATGTGCAAATTGACACGACAAAGATGGCGGCAGCTGGACCAGGAAGCTTGCTTCGTCGCCATGGCAATGATGCAGGCGTTCCGCCCCTCTCCGGCTGCTGCAGGCCTCTGGGCAGCGTGCAAAGGCGGAAGGCGGCTCTGGGCCGAAGCGAAGGTGGTACTGGCAGCCAGGGGAAGGAAGACCTATTCTTGCACGAATCTTCGTGCATCAGGCCTCTAGTCATAATATAATCACAGCCTAAGGCAGTTGTCGGCAAACTGTGGCTCGCGAGCCACATACGGCTCTTTGGCCCCTTGAGTGTGGCTCTTCCACAAAATACCGACTTCTGCACATGGGCCATGAAGTTTCAATCACACTATACATGCGTTCCTGCACGTGGTATTTTGTGGAAGAGCCACACTCAAGGGGCCAAAGGGCTTCATGTGGCTCACGAGACGCAGTTTGCCGACCACTGGCCTAAGGCATTGGAGGTACTTGGCTGTGTCCCAGGCCTGTGAACTATGCCAGAGATGATTATCTCGTGATGACCACTACAGATGCGTTTCATTGTTTAATCACAACAAATATAAGGATGAAGATGATTATTTACAAATACCCCACCTATGCCCAAAACTGAGCAGAGCCAATCAGATATACACATGTATGTGAAAACACTTCGCTGTCTTCTACTTCTTGTTAAAATATTTGGATTTTTAATGTGTCATAAATGCATAACACTTTGCAATAAACCAACAATCTAGTGAGATGCCTAGGAAAGGTTTGATATATATGGTAATAAACCTAAAATCCTACCATAAGGTAAATTCAACTCAAGGATTTATGCAACAAAAGAGGAAATTCTCAATAAAGTTACAATCTGATGGTAAAACCTGAGATTTATATTTTACTCTATTTCCTTATGATATCTGTAATTTCTCCCTCCCAATCAACCGGTTATCTGTTGCTCTTTGCTTTTATGTAACATTGGCTTAATCATCCTAACACTTTACAATGGTATAAGTCAATGTTCTCTGAAATGAAAGTCATTTTATGAGCCGTATTTTGGTATCAACTAATGAAAAATTTAAATATAGTTTTTTACTAACAGTGATATACTTTTCTTCCAATAGTAAATCCAAATTCAATGACACTAATATTAGAATCACCGTAATTGCTAATAAGGCGATTTAGACATTAAATCATATTCATTTAGCAATTAAATATTATTAAAATGATTTAATTATTTAAAATATGGCATATTTTAGAAATCTTTATTTCAACAATTTCTAATCTAGTCATTCTGGATAACACTCTCTACAATAATTCCTTTCCACAGTTATATTATTGGCTCCCAGACTCAGTCTGTCCACATGATTATGTTTTGATTGAAAATTTTGCTAATGAGAATCTTTAACTCAATAACTAATTCTGGTCAGGTGACACATGTGTAAGTCAGCTTTCCATATGCTTTCTAAATACATAAAGATAAATATATATATTGCCTACATCTGAAAATCGACCAACCACAGGACTGAACATCATCGTTACTGCAGAAAAAGGCAACAGCACAATGCCAGTGAAAGCTGAATCGTCCAGTGAGCGGTGCTGAGGAGACACCCATGAGGGGGGCTGGTGCTCATGCCAGAGGCATGGCCACGTGGATGGATGGGAGCTTGACAAGGTGGTGTGTCCAGGACCAGGCGCAGGAGAACCTAGAGAGGACGTATGAGGGCGCACTGACACCACAAGGGTGCCGGAGCAAGTGGAGGAGCGACTGTAAGAGTAAACACCTGGTGACAGTCAGCGGGCCTGCTGGCCCTGCAGTAGGCATGAGTCCTAACCAGGGCGGTGATTGGACTGGTCAGCCTCGCATGCGGGGTCCTCGCATTCCTGTCACTGGTCACCTTCCCATCTCTAGCTCCAGCCCTGGTTACAATACTTGGTGTGCTGATTATTTGGGTCCACGTTTTCCTCTCTGATTCCTTGAGTTTCCCTATTTATCTTCCTCCTCTGCCTCCGCAGATTACTGGGATGTAGGGCTGGGAGTGCTCGTACACAAGGCTGAGATGCATCTTAAAATATCGAATAAGCTGCTAACGTGCTCATGTGCCACGTCTGAGGGGAGGGGCACGCCACATGCGAGCAGTGCTAGAAGCAGCTCCAGCTCCCTGCGCACGCCAGGCGGCAGCTCAGGCCGGAGCTGCGGAGAGCTTAGCTGCGGATTATCAGCAGGATGCTCCGGCCTGAAGGGCCCTGCCTGGCACTCGCTGGTAAGAACCACAGTGGAGGGAGCATCCGCTACGTCACGAAGGCTCAGGAGTGACGCCTCGTCCGGGCTCTCCCCATTCTCTCACTGCCTTGCTGTAGGACTTTGTGTAGATCGCTCAACGATGACACATTTAACAAGTTTATACCTCAGTTTCCCCATTTGAAATGGTTAACGGGGGCATTTAGGAGGGTTAGCAGAGTCGTGTTTTTAAAACACTTTGTACTATTTACTTATAAAAAGAAATAGAAACAATTTGTGTTTTCACTGGCAGAGCCATCACCATCCAACATGGACTCTTAAACATGCATGTCTAAAATTAGAAAAATAAATTAAAACAGGAAAAGCCTAGCATAAAAATAAGCTCACTGCTACATTAAAATATGCCAAGTTGTTTGGAATAGTTTTTTAGTGGTAATCATAATACTGCTCAGTTGAAAATGAAGGGACATATTCAGATGTTAAGTGACTTGCTAAAGGCTACAGAGTTGGCTGGTGAGAGAAGAAATAAGACTCGGGCCCAGATGGTTAGGCCCATAAATGTATGTGTTGTACAAACTTCCTCTCGGGGGAAAAAGTGATTCTATTTCTCGTAAGATGTCTTAGACTCAAGTTTATTTTCCAAATATGTGTTTTTCAGTAGAATGGTTTTGTTCCAAAATGCCCACATTGCTGAAGAAAGCGGCTACACGCCACACTGGCAGATTCCACGACTTGACACTAGAATATACGGAATTCATTTTGCTATAAATGGACAAAAAACGTATGTGAGAAGTTTCTATGTGAATGATTACTTGTTTGGTTAGTAAGGATCTCATTTAGCTGAGATTTCAGCATCTAGAAACTATGCATAACTTCTATTTTATATACTGTCTGCACCTTCCCTCGAATCTGGCATGTAGAAGGCTCTCCACAGATGTTAAGTGAATCCTGCTATATTCCCAGTTGTTCCAGGCTTGGGAATAATTTTTTAGATATGCTATGTTTCTCTTCCAAAAGAGAAAAAAATAAAAAGCCTGCATTATGGCCCAACCCTTTGATCATTTCATAGCTATCTTTTACTTCTTTCTCAGTGACTACTTTTATTTTTTTTAATCATTTTATTTTAAAAATTAAAAATAAATCTCTATTGTTGAAAATATTATATATGTCTCCTCCTTTTTCCTCCCCATTGACCCCTTCTAGCCTGCCCTCAAGTCCCCCCACCTCCCCCCAGGCCTTCACCACCCTATTGTCTGTAACCATGGGTTATGCATACAACGTGTTTGGTTGATCTTTTCCCACCCACCCCTGCCTTCCCTCTGAGATTCCACAGTCTGTTCCATGCTTCTATGTCTCTGCATCTATGTATGTTTCTGTATATGGAAACATTTTTATGATTTTAAGAGTGGGCAGGCCTGTGACTATGGTGCTAGGTCATTAAAGGATCCAGCTTCTACCCGGTTCTTTCTCTCTCTATGGATGCTTGCCCTTGAAATCCAGCCACTGTGCTCTGAGGAAACCCAAACTAGTCCATACAGAGATTCACAGAAAGGACCAAGGTTCCCAGCTGACAGTCAGACATGAGCACAGAACCAAACCTTCCAGTTCCCTCCCTCACTCAGCCAACGCCCAGGGGAGAAGAGATGAGCTGTCTCCATTAAGGCATGTCCAATTACAGATTCATAAGCAAAATATTGTTCATTG